TTTCTGTGTCTCCTCATATATGACCCACACTCACTAACGATTTGCCTGTGCTCAGTTATCTTCCCATTAATTTTGACTTTTAACAAATCAGACTATTTCTTACCAAGTATTCTGTCAAGGCTAAAATATAGATCAGGAGCTAACCTTTCTGAACTGTTTATTCATTTGGATTATATGGATGCAACCTGGGCATTCAGCCTTCTGGAAAGGATGTTAAAATCCATAAATGGATAATTTTAGGAGATATTTAGGCCAGGATAATGCATTCTGGCTTAATTCTAGGATGCTGAATCAATTGAAGGATGAGTGAACAGGAAAGAGAAAGGGCAAAGAAGAAATGAGACAGAAATGGAAGGAATGGGAAGGAGACCAGAATGGGTGTCAGAGAAAACGAGGTTTGGCCAGATTATGTCAAGAATTTGGCAGAAGGACAAGAGGAACAACACCCTGGCTATTAGTCATGTGTTTTTGTAGGAATATAAACAAAAGTAGTGTTCAAGTAAGAGCTAGTGTCTTAACCAAGAAAAAGAAATGACATAAACTACTTATGTGAAATTAACATGCATCGTTTGTACTCAAAGGAAAGAAAAACGAACGAGAACAATTCTTCAAACAATACAATACAACCTGAGTTACCTATGAATATTTCTCCTGCCACATACAGATATATTATTAGATTACAAATGGCATTGGAAGTTATGAACATATTCAATTAGTGCAGGTAGATGGCCTAGATTTACTTCAACACCCTTGATTTTTTTAAATTAGAAGGCTTTTATACCCAGCAGTGCTTTAAATTATCTTGGTACAATTTGGAAACTTGAAAACCAGATGGTACTTTTGTTAATACTTTAGCAGACACATTTGATATTGCCGTTGGATTTAAAATGAACATGTGGGCTGAGGCCCCTGCAAGACAAACATAACATTTAAAAGTGTCTGGATCTGTCTGTGCTTCAGTAAGAGCTGCCTGTTATCACCATCACATGATAATGATTGGTCCTCATTATCATCCCAAGCTTGAAAGTGACCTTGAGAATCTTTCACCAGGTACTTTTTTCCAGCTGGATAAAATGCATTTTCTAAATTTACATGTTAAACATATAAGGAAACACAAAGAGTAATTAAAACATATAGAATCAGTAAAATATCAATTTTTCCTATAAAAGTTTACTACAATTTTACCCCAGCCATTATACCTGAGATCATTATGCTACTGCAGATATTAAATTCCTATTTTCATATGCTCACTATCTTTCCCTTATTTTCTAACATGTGATCATTATCACTTAATCAAACCAAAAGGCCAATAACCCACCATACCTGACCTACATAAATGGCATTTTGTACGATTTAACATAATGTCTGTGCAGTTAAAACTACAAGATGATGAATCCTACATACCACTATTTTATTGAAGAAATAAAATCAAATATTATAGGCAACTAACTGTGTTATTCTAGTCCTCTAAACATTTTTTTTTTTGCTTGAAAGTGGCATGTCAGTTTTCATATATAAATTTGATTTGTCAATATATATATATATATACGGTCCTGTCGATTTGAGTTTTTATATTTTGAAGTTTTATTAAGTACACCCATTTTTAGATATGTCAAATCTATGTAAAATGACAGCCCACTGTCTAGCATTGCATTTAAAAAATAAAGAACATTTTATTCTCATTTATATACTAGCTTTCTTTTGGCACTGCTTGTCTGGCCCACCTTTTTTTCTTTATTTGTATTTTTCTATGTCATTTTGTGTTATACATGGTTCATATAAACTTTCTGTAATTATTTTTTTAAAATAGTGTTTTTAAACATGGAAGTTTCTCTCTCTCTCTCTCTCTCTTTCTCTCTCTCTCTCTCTCTCTCTCTTCTCTTTTTTTTTCTCCCCCCCCCTTCCCCTCTCTCTAAAAGTATATCCTCAACCGAGGATTTAAAAAAAAAATGTTTTCCCTTATCTACTTGGACAATTGATACTGTTGCCCTCGTGATTCAGGGATTTTTTTTGTCTCTGACCCTCATCCAAAACAAGCAACATGGTAACCAGCTAAAGCTGCTCCTAAGGAAAAGCAGAGATGCCGGCATGGAGGCTTTCTCATGGTTTTAGTGCTGATGTGAATGCAGCTAAGCTCAAGTGTCCAGTAAGGAGCCTACACAAGAGTAACGCCACCAAGGTATGGTGACTGTGACAGCTTACGTGTGTGTTGAGGGAGCAGTTTTAAATAGTAACATTTGAGAATGGTATGATGATAGATCCTCAGAAGGGAACCTTCAAAAGGCTAGTAGGGAGATCATAATTGGAACATCTGCCCACAGGAACTCTAGCAGCCACCTGGTCACCAGTTCATTCCCACTCCCTCTCCTGCCCCAGTGCTGAGGGTTACAGCCACAGCAGAGGTATAGGGGTGGACCACAAACAGGAGGAGGAGGAAACTCCCAATAATCAGGAGTCAGAACAAGGTCTGGTTGGAGTAACATTTTTTAAAAAATATATCTTATTAATTTTTTACAGAGAGGAAGGGAGAGAGATAGAGAGCTAGAAACGTCAATGAAAGAGAAACATCGACCAGCTGCCTCTTGCACACCCCCTACCTGGGATGTGCCTGCAACCAATGTACATGCCCTTGACCGGAATTGAACCTGGGACCTTTCAGTCCGCAGACAGACGCTCTACCGCTGAGCCAAACCGGTTTCGGCTGGAGTAACATTTTGAAGTGGATGAATTATAGGTGATTCTATTTTCAATGCCTATAACTCAGGGGGAATATAAATAGCAGAAGGTGACCAGAAATATTATGGAACCTATTTGAGATTTTTCAGAGATGAAAAGGACCTCTGGTATAGAGGGGTTGAAAGCTGATGTGAGAAATAGATATTTCCCCCTGTCTTATGCCTTGCCTAGTCTCTTTAGATCAAACTATTTAAGCACCGTTTTACTATCTCTCTTAAATTCATATGTGTTCAAATGGTTTCAAATATGGCAAGTATCACCCCAATCCTTGTTTTTATTTCTAATGAATTTACTGACGGGTGTCAAAAATTACCATATTTTCCTGGAAATCATAGGCAACAACACATACAAAGTGGAGTTTAAATCTATTTGGCAATAAATGTCCACCTTAAATTTTCATCACACCCCTACCAAATCTATCTAACATTCTTTTTTTAAAAATATATTTTTATCGATTTCAGAGAGATAAGAAGGGAGAGGGAAGGTAGAGATAGAAACATCAATGACGAGAGAGAATCATCGATTGACTGCCGCCTGCATGCTTCACACTGGTGATCCAGTTCACAACCAGGTCATATGTGCCCTGACCCAGAAACAAATCTTGACCTCCTGGTTCTTAGGTCCACACTCAACCGCAGAGCCGTGCTGCCTGGGCAGTACATCTCAGGTTTTTGGCTCTGTGTTCAGAAATAGGGTGCAAGGGTGAAGGGTGAAGTAACAAGCACTTCTAGAAAGTGAGTTAGGGATCCCTAATTATTTTGCTTAACTCAGGTTCATACTAGTTAATGAAATGGCCATACCGAAGACCATAACATCATTAGAGTAGGTACGACATTAGTACTTTAAATGATTTATATAGGCAGATTAAGGTAGGAAGGTGAGGAAAAAAAGAACATGAAAAATCTCCATCTTTCACGGCTTTAAAATGTTGGCTCTGCTGTGAAACATAATTAAGTCAACAGTCTGCTGGTTAGGTTCCAGGCATGTGACAACTGTTCCCTCTCTGTCACCAGGACATTCACAGGTCTTGTGCTTTTCCCAAAAGCTGTGTGCTCAGCTTTGTCTAAGGTAGGGTTGGCTGGGAAAGCCCCATGGATAAAGAATAACAGGAGGGGCAATTAGCCAGTGTCCAGAGCATCAGTGAGGTATACATAACATTATTTATAGCCTAGCTGTCAAAATCTCTAATAGGAGGAACTTAATTTGCTCTCATGTAACTGACATAGTTTGATATAGACAGAAAAATGCTTATCTCATTTTGACAACTTTAATGTTGGATCAATGTGCATGGCATTTTATTTATTTGTTTGTTTATTTCTCATTCTAGTAATCATATGACACCAGGCAAACATATTACATTAATATTGACCATATCCCCTTTCACCTTTTTTACCCATCTCCCCACCCTTTGGCCTCTGTTTCTATAGGTCTGGTTTTGTTTTGTTTTATTTGTTCATTTATCTAATTATTTTTTTTAGGATTCCACATAAAAGTGAAAACATATGCTATTTGTCTTTGTCTGACTGTCCTCCCCTGCAGTTCTGGTCCCCCCACAACTGCCCTTCCCTGCTGGCCTGGACTCTCCCAACTGTCCTCCCCTGCAGGCCTGGTCCCCCAACTGCCCTCCCTGCTGCCCTGATTGCCCACAACTGCCCTCCCCTGCAGGCCTGCCCCCCCCCCCCCCCCACAACTGCCCTAACCTCTAGGCCTAGTCTTCCTGAATTTCCCTCCCTTCCTGGCCTGGTCTCCCCCAACTGCCCTCCTCTGCCTTGGGACAGGTTGACTGGCCTTCATCTGCCTGGCCTGACCCCACTCAGGGAGGGACCTGAACAGGGTGTCTGCCTCTTCATTCTCCATTCTTACATCTGTGACACCTGTCATCCTTGCCTCCCAAAGTAAGTTCAGCTCAATCCCTGAATATAAAAGGGCACAGGGGGTGGGTCCACTCCAGTGCCCCCTGATTTCCAGCGACAGGATCTGATCTTACGTTATGACTAAAATGTCCCTCAGAGGGAGGGAACTGTCAGATGGGGAGCAGAGAATTCTGAAAACCAAAGCAAAGGTTCAGCACACAGAAGAAGTCCTTGATGTTCTGCTGAGAAACTTGGACTCCTTCCTCTGTGGTCACACAACTGTCACATGCCAGGCAGTCACTCAGAAATACCTTTGCATCAGTTAACTTACAGAATTCTCCCTTCTCTCCATTCTCCTGAGCCAAATACCAGATGTTGACTGTGCCATTCTTTTGGGTCATTGTTTGTTTTCAAAACATTACTAAGCTTATATGCATATAACATACAAAGATGCAGCCTCTTTTGTAGGAACAGGGAAGGGAGGGGTGGTTAAGTAAGGCACACGGAGCTGCAGCAAGCACCAGCTGTGGGGAGGGCTGAGGGGGAGAGAAGGTTGGTACTGGGCCAAAGCCCTAGAACCATTGCTGGGGAAGCAGGAATGCCCTCTGATTGGCTGAACTAATGGGTCAAGCTGAGGCAGAGGTGGGTGGCCATATCAGCCGTCTTTGGTGCTGTTTACCCTTTCCTACCCCAGCTCTGTTTTAAAACCCCGAAGCCCTGGATTCACAAGGCGCCATCCAGAGCGGAGGCCCTCGAAGGGGGTGAGAGGAAGTAAGTTTGTGCTGAGGGATGGCCGGAGGCAGTGGTGAGAGGTACCAGGGGAAGGGCTCTCATACAGACCCTTCTGTGGGAGCCACAGGTGAAGGAGGCCAGGGGAGGAGGGTAGGGATTGACACCATGGCCCCAGCCTCTTAGGCATCCCTGTCTGTCCTCTGCAGTGGGGCCAGGCCAGGCCAGGTGACCATCTTGAGTTCTGGCTGAGGTGATGGTCCTCACCCTGAGATGCCTTCTCACTGGTGATATACCCAGGCCTGACTCCTACTGTCGGCGCTGAGATCCAGGTGTTTGGTTGTCTGTCCAGTAGGCTATTATTAGTATATATAACTTATCAGTTAGAATATATTATTGCCCTTATTTATCATGTAAGAAAACCAAGGCTGAGAAAGATTATGTAACTTGTCTATAGTCACAAAGCTAATGCATTACAGAGCCAGGGCCTCCCCTCAGGAAAACCAAATCTAATGCCAATTCTTCACTTTTGTACTCAATTCTTTTCTTTTCTAAAAATATATGATTATATCAACATAGCACTTGTCCATAGGCACTAAGATAATTATTTCTTACTTATTTTATTATTTTTTTATTTTTTTCATTATCGTTTATCCTCTCTATGCCCTGTCTCACCTCCACCCATCTGTCTTTCTTCTCAATCACTATATTGTTGTTCATGTCCTTGAATTCTTTCTCCTCTTTTTCTTCTTTTTTTGCTTAATCCCTCCACTTCTTTCAACAACCCCAACCAGCACTGTCTGCTTGCTCTCTTTGAGTCTCTCTATTTTGCTAGTTAGTTAGGTTTGTTTATTAAATTCCATATATGAGTGAAATCATAAGGTACTTGTCTTTCTTTGACTGGCTTATTTCACTTAGCATAATGCTCTCCGGGTCCACTCTTTACTGAGTTTATCATATCACTGAAGTGTTAGTCTAGCTCAACTCTATATCCATTTCTGATTTACATTGAAATATCCATACAGATTAACATAGGTTACTTGTTGAATTAAAATTTTATTTTAAGTAGAATAGTCATTACATTCACCCATAATCAGATTAGAGTTTAAAATTATATATCTTTATTGATAAACCATATTTATTTTTCATTTCTGCTCCACACTCTTGAACTATTTTAGCACAGGGTAGGGCAGGTCAATATTTAGTATGTCAAAAGTTATCATAAAGCTTATGAAATACATGCAGGAAGATAACATAGACTTAATCATATACTAAAAATAAGGACAATTTCAGTGTTAGGGCACAATTGGAATGCATTTAGAAAGTATTGATGAAGCAGGGAAGATGAATTTGGGAGGTAAAAGAGACAATCTATTACAATAGAAATTAAAGTGATGGAAATATGATGGCCTGTTCCTATGTCTTCCTAAAGCATTTATCTACACCAAATAAAATGGCAAGGTGATTTTGAGTTAGAAAAAAAAAATTAATAAGCACTTATAAAATTGAATAAGAAAGAAAGAATTATTAATTTTGCTTAATCTCATATAATCATGCAGTTATCACACTTAATTTGCTTATTATCCTAATACATATATATTTTACTTACCATTTAATATTTCAGTTAATATTACCTATTGTTCAACTTAACTTTGTGTCCTTAATTTTCTTATATTTTCTGCATAATTTATGTTTATGTTCCTATGTCATAATATTCATGGTCATTCTATATTTTAGCATTAGTTTTGTTTGTGAAGTTATACTGAGGAGTGTCATTTTTGAATATATGTCAGTTTATGACATTTAACTCTTAGAAAAGGAAGATCATCATATCTTTCTCCCCTTGAAACTTTCCTTGTTTCCTACTGCTTTCAGAATAAAAGCTAAAGTACATTCCATGTCTTTTAGCCTTAAGTGGTGTGACTTGTGATTGCATCTCCAGCCACTTTCCCCTTGTTCACTCAATTGCTGTCCCACTGCCCATGTGCTTCCTCATTGTTTTTCAATCACATCAAACGCCCTGCAGCTGCAGGACCTCTACACTCGCTGTGTCCTGGGCCCACGATGCTCTCCCTCCAGGCATCTCATGACTTAATTCCTTCACTTATTGAAATCTCTTTGGCAATTTTATCATTTCAGGGATTGCTTCATTGGCACCCTTTCTAAAATGGCTAAGTGTCCCATTTTTTGTCTTCTTATTCTTCATTGGTCTCATTTATCTAGATGAAATATCCTAATGTATATTTTCTAATTGATTTTGTCCATCAGCATAATATTATCCCCATTCTAGTAGGGATTTTGTCTTCTAGTAGAGGCTTGATGCATGAAACTTGTACAAGAGTAGGCCTTCCCGGCCCCGGCTGCCTCGTCCCTGGCGGCTCTGGCAGCCATGGCTTCGCCCTGAAGGTCATCTGGATGATCGTTCCACTGTTCGGCCATTCAGTCTATTTGCAGATTATGCTTTTATTATTATAGATTGGTAGATCTAACCCTCACAGGTTAAATACAAACTTTATAAACAATAAGCAAAAATAGGTCATAAATGGATTAATCCAACCCTTATAACAATACCACTGTGGGGAATTCCCTTTCTTTTCTTATATGCCATCTTCTAGGAAATGTTGTGGAAGAAAGTTGAAGGAGCCAGATTTGAGATCTTCACTCTTACTACTCCTCCCACTTTATAAAGCACTGTGTCCCTGCGCTTTGTATCGTGATCTACTTATGCAAAGTCATAGTAGCAATGGGGTGTTTGTGATTCACTCAGGCTTTGGTACAGCCTGTGAAATGACAGTCCCTGCTCTGTGGCAGCTAAAAGGATTGCTGATCTAGGCCTTCTGGAGCTCACCTGATTCCAACCACTTTAAAAGATTTGTGAGACTCCAAAGATACTTTCACTAAACTCCAGTTTTTTCTTTTCTTAAAATAGGCAAGTGTGATTCAACCTCAGTCTTAACAGTTAGCCTTAATCTGCTTGTCAGTTTCTCCATTAGCTTCAGTCTTATGAAGCTTCATCTTTTTAGGCACCATTATATCTAATGAGGGCAGTAATGTAAGACTAAGGTATGCCATTTAGATTTAATGTTAATAGCTCACTAGTCACATAAATGTAGCTAAGGGTCCCAGTAACTTGGAATGAATGCTTCCTAAGAGACTTTATATATTGAAATTCTTCCCATCAGCAGCAATTTGAATGTATAATTATTTTTGCAAGTTTGAAATGTTATACCAATTAGTGATTATTGTGAAAAATATTAATTTTATACACCAAATAACTTTTAAGGGTTTTGAGAGATAACATAATGTAAAATTTGACAAATAATATAAAAATTGGAAACTGTAAGATAAATTTAGGATGCTTAAGGCAAGAGATATTTGCAAAAGTTAAAGTGACAACGCAAAGTATTGTAATTGATATTAGATGATATTATTTTTTAATTATTTGGAATAGTATCATTTACAACACTACATGGAATAATTTAAAGTACTATCCTTATTTTTTATTTATTAAATTTAATGTAGACTGTGAGTTATGGAAAAAATATCCTTTGTGCAATTTTTATATAAGTTAGGAAGTAAAATGCACTGCATATCTTAAAATTTCATAAAAATAAAAAACTAAAAAAATCAAAATCCTAATACATTAATTTTAATCTAGAAATTTAAAAAGACATAAAATATTTGTAGTGGGATAATTAAGTTATTTTTCAATTTTTTTGAACTACTGATTTTAGCTGACTTCAAACATCAGTGTTATAACACAAATTTTCAATATATTTAATTCAGGAAGAACTTAACTGCTAACAATTGCTGACTATTTGTGAACTAAGGTTTTTTTATTTTATTTTATTTTTTATTTGAGGAGTAAAATTGTAATAGTAAAATGGCATTACAATTAAATTTTCTCAAAAAGATTTGATTCCGGTCAAGGAATGTACCTTGGTTGCGGGCACATCCCCAGTAGGAGGTGTGCAGGAGGCAGCTGATTGATGTTTCTTTCTCATTGATGTTTTTAACTCTATCCCTCTCCCTTCCTTTCTGTAAAAAATCCAAAAAATATATTTTAAAAAACCACCTTGCAAGAACCATAATCTGTATATTGTAGTATTTTTTTGTTTGTTTTCTTCTTACTATGAAACATATTTTTAATGTATGAAAATATAACTGGGAACATGTTTCTTTGCACTGACAGAAAAAAAAATTCTTCACTTTTAAAGCTGGTTCTGTAGCAATCAGATGATTATTTTCCACCTGGAAACCAAAAAGGTCCCTGGTTCAGTTCACTGTCAGGGCAATACCAAGGTTTCAGGTTTGATCCCCAGCTATAGAAGGCAACAGGGGAAATTTCTCTCACATTTCTTTCTCTCTCTCTCTCTCTCTCTCTCTCTCTCTCTCTCTCTCTCTCTCTCTTTCTCTCTCTCTTTCTCTCTCTCCCCCCCACTCTCCCTTCCTCTCTCTAAAATAAATTAAAAAAACAAACATATTTTAAAAAATAAAGCCAAGAAAATAAAACAATAAAAATATTCTTAAAGAAAGACAGAAGTGAGAAAAGTAATATCATGAAAAAGAACTTTACCATACATGTGGGGATGCTTGACAGGTGCTCAGAACTATGCACATGAAATCTGTTGGGAGGTCTATTTTGAAGAATAAGAATTAGAAAAGCTCATTGGTTTTCTAATTCAGACATGGACTAGTTAGTTCTCTAAGACACAGAATATGCTACAAAACAAGAAATAAGTTATTTACATAAACACAATTTATTATGTCAGGATGAATTTGTATACACTATATACACACTAAACAATGTTGATGTGCAACAGATGCTGTAGAAAATAAATAGACTAGAAAGAAACTGAGAAGTATCACAAGAAAACAAAATGAAAGAAGACCTAAAAAAATAGTTGTAAACAATAGGTTGTAACTATTAAGTCCATGAAATCAATTGCAGTAGATATACTTGTGAAGAAGCTGGTAAACATTCTCAGAGAACATACCAGAAAGTGAAGAGATTACATTGCATATAAAACTGTCTATGATTATGGAGCAGAGTCCTCATTTTCTTGCCAACCTCAGGTCAACTACAAGTCAGACCTGTAGTTCCTTTGAGAAGGAAGAAATGAGTGTGATTTGTTCTATTGTATGCGAGGACCACATTATT